TGGCCATGTGGAGATGTGGGCGGTGGCCACTCCCACAGGGGAGTGGTTGGGTAAGAGGTAGAGGGTCAGGATGTGGAGCGGTAGAGGATCAGGTCAGGGACAGGCGACAGGCGACAAGGCAATAATTCTTTGGTTTTCACATTTTGCTGGCGCCCGTTGTCGAAAATCTTTTTGCGGCTTATGTTACACCAGGCCGACCAACCAACCAGTCAACCCAACCACCCACCCACCATTCCGCCCACATGTAAACCATAGCCCGCCCAGATGGGATGGAAGTGGGCGTGTCCGCTGGGACGGACGACACATGTTACGGGTCAGTGGCGCTGCTGCCGCCGGCTTACACTTTTCGGTTTAGATTTTATTCATTTGCATATGCATGCTTATGATGAGATTTATATATTTGATTCTCGCTCCCTTTCTTTCTTCTCTTTTTTTTTTTTGCGGCTTTTCCCGATTACGGCCGGGTTAAGTTGACGGTGTGAAATTTCAAATAGGTGACATCGCCGTCCGCTGCAAAAAAAATATCGTTTACTTTGTGGTTTGAAAATAATATTTTTATTAAACGACATTAAATGATATGTAAAATATCATGTTTCGCTTTAAATACATGGAAAAGGGGTTTTCTGAAACAGATTTAAACTCACCTAAGGATAAACAATTGCAAAAAGCGATCAATCATCTGAGTTAAAGTTAATTAATATAACAAAAACAAAGCTGCTTGTTCATTGGGAATCAACCATACAAATCCATTGAGTATTCTTTAATATATCAATCATTAAAAATAATGATTAATCACTGTTAAGCTTCTTATTTGCCATCATGCCAAACTCTTTGGTCTGAATGTATTCCGAAATTAAAGCGTAAAAATGGTGGAATTTGGATTTACAAAAGCTTCATTTTTCAAATTCCGCCCTCCCAAACAAAATCTTCACTATTGATGTAAGCTATTTAGCCAACTCAATGTCAAGTCCGCTCTGACATGAATACAAATGCGATAACTTTATGCCATAGTACACAGTAAAATAGTCAAAAGAAAATTGAGCGAGGCATTACGGTACATATGTTTCAACAATATTTTATATTAGCGATTACTTATTAATGAATAAGCTAATTTTATAATTACGAACCTAACGCCCTTATCCAAATTTATTTCCCCTGCAACAAGGCTTTTGATTAAAGCTTTTGTAATCCCATACTAATTACACTTTGAGTGCATTCGCATCAGGTCGATGAATTCCAAATGCGGCAATTAATCACGGAAATGACTTTGGTACAGTCCCGCGTTACGTGCAACCAGGTGGCAACGCCGCACGTCACCCGGCGCAGCGGAAACGGAAATGGGAAACGGGAAACGGGAAACGAACCTTAACCTCAACCTCAACCTCGAAACTCAAAGCACGAAACACGAAACACGAAACACGCAACACACGCGCGATTAGCAGCAATTTGTGCAGCAATTAAGCTCAAGTGCAATAAAACTTATTTCCAGCCAAGTGCGGTGCGGTAGCGGTGCAGCGGGAGCAACAACAGCAGCGATGACAACCGTAAGTCGAGCCAAAAGTTATGCGCTTTTTTAAGTGAATATGATTGCATTCTAATGTCAGGCCATAAATTAGCGACTCGGACTCCGGCGCGGCATGACCTCAGCTCAGCACGCGACCCACGCCTGCATCAGAACGCCCCTCTGCCCACGAAACCGTATCACGTCCTTCGTCCTGCGTCCTGCATCCTGCGTTCTGCGTCCTTCAACCCCACTGCGGGTTACGTGACAGGAGTATGTGAAACTTTTCAACTTGAACGAATATTTATATGCTGAAAAATATAGCGAGCGAAGCCAGTGTTACAGCCACCACAAAATAAAAAAAAAAAAAAAAAAACGAAAGAAAGAAAACATGGGGAAAGGCATCAAAGAGTTTGAGTTTGCCAGACATAAAATACCCAGCACTGCGTTTCCTGCGTTATTTTATGATCTGTCATAAAACCATATTCCTTTTGGCTTCATTCTTAAACTAAAACTCACCAACTTTTAACTAATTTGGAGGGCAAAGGCCAAAATATTGTGTGTAATATTGTGTGGCTCACTAAAATGTTATGGCAAGTAAACATAGAAATTGTAGAATTAAGTGTATAAAACATCATATGAATTAATGTTATAATGGAATAATGGTTAAATTATTATGCAATTTCTCAACTTATCTCTATAGCTGGGTTTCCCTTAACTATTATATTCTATAAGATTTCCAAATATTATTACCATTGCTTTAATGTCAACAAAGATCACATAAATGGGTTTTGAGTAGAAAACTGCCCACAAAACCCTATATGCCTTTGCAGCCTATGAGGTATCAAATAAAGAGTAAAAAAAAGGAGCAAAAATGTGCGAAAAATTCGCAAAAGCATGACTGGGCCAAAAAAACGAGTGAGGGGTGAGGGGTGAGTGGTGAGGGGCAAGGGGAATCCGCGATTGCGATTGCGATTGCGAGTGCAAGTGCGAGTGAGTGTGATGAAGTAAGAGGTTCGCAAGTGGGGGGGGGGCGACATTTTGTGCGGTTTCGCGTGCCACTGAAAAGTTGAACGTGCTCGGCTAATGCTGATGCTGATGCTCCATAGCTTCTTCTCCTGATCCTGGTCCTTCTGAACATACACATCTGGCACTGCCAAGGCCACGGGGGCTGTGGGGGGAGTGGGCGTGGCATGCCGCCACTGTAGATGAAAAACTGCTGCGGATTACGTGGTGGTAAAAACTTTCTGACGCTTGATTTTCATGCTGATTGTAATCCTTGTGTGCGAGTGTTTTCCAGCCTGATCATGAACGAAACAACGCAACTAAATATGTCGGTGGGGGCGTGGCAATTCAACGCAAAACTGGACCGGAATAATGCCAGCAAGTTGATATGGACCAAGCTGGTGCCTCTGGACTTTTGAACTGAATGCTGCGGCCAAATGAACTTTCCAGCTCGCTGCAACAGTGTTGCCAACAATGGTTAACAAACTACACAAAAACTGACAATAAAATATGAAAATTGATTACTTTTATACCTTTTTTCGATCATTGCTCCTCACAAAGACTTTTCTAATAGTTTTTAAGATTTAAAAATATAAAAACTGTGAAAGCTTTAGAACAATTTTAGGTATTTCCTTTATCTAATGCTTATCTGAGCTTTTCTGCTGAATTTCAAAGTGCCTAAAAAACAATTGGGGATTGCAGAGTTCTTAAGAACAATAAAACATGATAAATAAACATTTTTAATAGTAATAATAATTGTATATTCCACCTATTTTTGATAGCTATTATGTAAACATTTTAAAGGAAAAAAATCTAAAAAAAAAAAATACCCATTATTAAATGAATGACAACTTTTAAAAATATCCAGCAAAAAGCCAAAATGGAAGTTCTGTTTCCCCGAAAACAACACCGATGTGGACAGTGGATTGCGGTTGCATCGGCTGTTTCGCTGTTTTGCCTTGGGCGCTGATTTCCCCGCCTTTTCTCATTCGGAACCGGCCCTTCACCCCTCGCACCGGGTATGCGTATTTAACATTTTTGATGTGGGCCCTTGGCCGACGCAAAGGGCAGGGCGAAACTAATTTATTTCCATTAGTCGACGATGTCGGGCACGTGAAATATTTCCGCTAATTGGCATTTGGCAGGCCACGCAGCCGGAACCGAGATCCTGTGCTCTTGGGCTCTTGGACTCTGGGACTTTTGGACTGTGGAACACCAGGACTCAGCCCTCCCTAAAACATTCTGTAATTAATCATTTTCTGATTTGGCATTGGGATCTGCACGGCAACTCCGGCATTTTTCCGGCCATTGGACGTCGTCGGCCTCGCATTTTACGCGCCGTTAAAGTTTAATCGAAAAAGTATTTTTGTGGCCAATGAAAATTCCAATAACGAAATGCCAGCCACAACAAACTTCTTGACTTTTTTATGCCCCGCAGCAGGAGAAGTTTTTGCACCTGTAGCAGGGTCTCGTTTGCTTTCGCTTCAGCTTCAGCTTCAGCTTCAGCTTTGGCTTGATTAGTACACCCAAAGAAAAAAAAAAGAAAAAAAACATTACAATATGCCCCTATTTAGGTGTCAAAAGGGACCCTATTGAATGGTAAAAAGCATTTAATAAGATGATCGTCAATTTGACACCTTTTGCAGTGACCGATTGATATTTTCGAAGCTATCAATATTCACTATTCCGTGTCAATATGCCATTATCAAGCAAAAAACAAAAATTAAAATAACGTGGGTTTCGTCATAATAAGCCACACTTATTAAATTAACACTCAGAGATTTTGTTTTGGGTGTACGGTTGGACTTTGATGCAGCCGCAGCCGGGAATGCCTGCACTTGACGAACATTCCGGACACGGACATCGTCCATCGTCCATCGTCAAATTGTCTGGCTGGAACTTTCGCAATGTGTTGCGTTGTGGCCATTCGCAGGAAACAGGAAAACTTTTCCCTCTAATGCGCAATTAAGCAAAAATTCCAAGCGTGATGGGCGAAATATTGTGGATCATCACCTGAACGCAAAGTCCGTTGGCTCTGACGCTCGCTCAAAATGCTTGAAAATTAACGACTGCAGAGATGTGGTTTGTGGCGGGATCAAAAAACCACCGGAACTTTAATTGCATGTTCTAGGAAGCCCCATAAATTTCTTTGTAAAGTCATATTTTAAAAATTATCATAAAAGCTTTGATAAATTTGTACAAAAATAAAATTATAAAGACAACATATTTACTTTGTTTTATAAATAATTAATACAAATTATAGAAAATTACATTATAAAGTCTATATCTTATTTATTATTTGCGTTTTCTTTTTTGGGCTAACTATATTAGTTATTTAGTTGACTACGAACGTAAAAGACCAACTTGCACAGCTGTTTTTTATTTATTTATTTAAAAGGTAGCCTTTTACCAGTAATTGGGGTAAGGTGGCTTAAAACTCCCATTCGTGGTTGCACAAGAGTACTAAGTCAAAAATTTCAACAAAACAAACAGAGAACAATTTCACATTCTCAGTTAGTTTAGCAACACCAAATCTCTTGCCATGAAAATTGTATCTGTTTGACCACAAAAAACGAAAAGCAAAACCCAAAAACACCATAACAGCACAGTTCACAGGTTTAACCCAGTGTCAACCACAAAATACATACGAAGCAAATCTAGCTGCGATAATTCGGGCACACACTCCAAATGGGCGCCACTTTGGCCGGTGAAACGCGTGCCGAGGGCGATGGAGGCGAGGGTGGGGGCAAGGCCGACAGGGCAGCGGGTGGCGCAGAACATGCCCCCGAACCACTTCCATCGCAGCATGACTCCACCTCCAAGAAGACGGAGAAGTCGAAGAAGGAGTCGCAGGAGGAGTCGCCACCCAGACAACCGGACCAACCCGACCAACCGGACCCACAAGACCAGAATCACAAGCAGAAGCAGCAACATAATCCCCTGTCCAGGGAATCGATCAAGCTGGTGAGACGCCGCTCCACCGAGGATATTCAGCGTATGTAAGTACCACAGCTGATATTTACTCAAGCAAGTGAAAACCAAATCAAGGACAGAGGTTTCCTAATACACAATTCCAAAAAATTATCTCCGGTCACAGGATAGTGGCCATCGACATTTTGGCCAGAACTTTGTATGTACGTCTTGTTTTGGCCAAGTTACACTAAGAGGATTCTGTAGAAATTTTTTTTTTAATCTCCAAGAACCCAAAAATCCGTTTTTTTATCAAAACGCCGGGAAGTAATGCTCAAAAGATGAAATTTCATACATCGCTAAGTTCGTCATTAAATTGCCAATCGAATGGCATTCATAGATAAAATTTTTTCATTATCAAAAATGCAAAAATTGGTCAAAAAATTATTTTTTTAAAAAAATCAATTTTAAAAAACAAAATGTATTTTTCTTAACCGATTGTGGATGTGTAGTATTGGTCGCCAACTATTCAAAACAGTCACTCTTATGGCTATACGTCTATTTTTGCCCAAGTTACAACCAGAGGACTCTGTTTGATTTTTTTCAAAATAGTCCGGGATTGGAATGCATTTGTTCGATATTCTTGGCACTTGAGTAGAGCGCTTCTCCTTGCTTTATTTTAAAGTTTAATATATTTTTTTCTGGCTTAGGCAAACGGAGGCCATTGTCGCGGAGTTCGACCGCCTGCTGCTGCAGGCGGAGGGGCAGCTGAAGGAGGTGGTGGAGTCATCGTGCGCTGACGTGGCTGCCAGGCTGCAGAGTTGCCTGCAAGCGCACCGCCAGCGGTCCTGCAACTGCTTCCCGGCGATGGAGCAGTACCGCAACTGCGTGCTGCGGGCCACCCAGAACCGCGTGGACGATCTGGCGGACAGAGAGCCACCGATACTGCCGGTCGTACCGCCCCAGTCGATCCCTCGTCCCGAAGTGCCGCCACCGAATCAGCGCTCGAATCGCAGATGGTGGAAGTTTTGGACATGGTTTCGCTAGTCAAGAGGATCCACCCATCCATCCCAATCGCTGTCCGTTCTCAGCTGAAACAGTAGTTGTTCGTGGGCAAACCGCCAGCCCCATTTAATGTAACGAAATGCCTTTATTAATTAGAAACACAAGCCCCTTGCCACAATCCATTTTTGCTTATTTCCACGTGAGGAGGTGCAGCTGCAGCTAGGAACGTGGCTGCTTGGGCAATTGATATGGCTCCAATTAGTCTGAGCCCTTGGAAAACTGCACTTTTAGCTGCAGTCTGCCATTTCAATGGCAACCTTTAGTCTATTAAGCAATTTAAAGAGATGTTCAAATTAATTAAGAGAATATTTTTACAAGCTTTGCTTTTAAAGTTACTGGTGCTAATTCGGTTAACCAACCACTGGTTTCCATAATTTACAGGTTGTTCAATTATTATGTAAGTACTAAGCTCTTTGAGGTGCAAGAAAATAACAAATTAAGATCAAATGAAATTCGGTAAGGAGCACCTGAATCGGTAAAGCCGATTCAAAAACCTATTATAATTCTGGCTTTAATGACTTTCATAGCCATTGTAGAGTGAAACCTAAGCGTGCAGTGCAAAACGCATTGTGTGTGGAAAACAAAGAGATTCGTTGTCAGTTTCAGACATGCCTCATTTGCTTATGGGCGCTCATATATATTAAAATCTAAATTAAACCCACAGAGTTCGGCTAGAATTTCGAAAATGTTGCATTTACGTTGGTGCGTAGTGGAGCTGCACTCGTGTAATTCTATGCTTTCAATTTGTGCCGAGTCAGTGGCCGCTTTATGTCCATCATAGCCGGCAGTGACTGTGGCAGACATTGCGAACTAGAGGACGCTTATGAAATGCAGACTCTCCGAGGGCTGGGCATCCCCTCTGCCCCATTGCTCCTCTACTCTGCATATCTGTCCACTCATTCATTTAAATGTCTATATCATGTGGCCAGAGTGAAGGCGGCAGAATGGAGAATGCAGAATGCAGAGTGCAGAATTGCAATTTGCAATAAAAGTAAATCTGCTATGGCGCCGGGTTGAGCTCAAAACCGAGAGCTGAGAGCTGAGAGCTTCGGTTCCAGCTGGCTAGCTCCTTATACATTGTTATATCCCCTGCCAGACCGAAAAACCATCTGCCGCCATATGTGAGCTCGTCTCGTAACCGTGTGTGTGTGTGTGTGTGTGTGTTCATGTGCGGTTTCAGGTTGAAAGCCTTTCGGGCAAGGTAAGCAAACATTAGAATTTATTAAATCCAGCTCATGCAGAGCAGCCACGCCCCCCGCACGCCCACTTTTTCCTTTTGCTTGAGCGCAGAAAAATACAAAAAAAAAAAAAAAAAAAAAAAATAGGAGAAAAATTATAGCATATAAAACTCACCTTGCCACGGCTTCAGCAGCACATTCAACTTTTGGGCCAGGCCAGAACTTCCACACACCTCTACATACAATCAGCCACACACACACAGCGGACACCAAATTCGCCTGTATTATCTTCACACACACCCGCACATATTTGCCCTTACATAATCCAACTTTGCTTTTAGCATTTGGCAAAACAAACAAAATGGCAGCACCAAAAAGGAGTTTGCCTTCGTATACACTGACCAAAAGCTGACTACTGCGTGGTCTGCCGATTAAGATGGTATATTCTGATCAATATTATGTATTAAATAATTTCATTTCGCATTACCTACAAAAAACTAAAAGCTATTGTAACTATTGTATCAAAATTAAAAAAGGCAGATGTAAAAAGAAACTAGAGACAATGGAGACTGTCAAGAAATTAAATGAATACCTATAGCAAAATGTCAATCTGATTTTTTCCTGTGTAATATAAAGTGTTTGCCGGAAAAATGTACAAAAACGCTATGCTTAAATATTATTCCCCCAAAAAATCAAATCAAAAACTGAACTATAAAACTAATTCCCAAAAATGGGACTGAAAAATAAATAACTTGCTTGTAATTTTGTACATATTCATTCCTTGTAATTATTTAAAAAATATTAGTTATCTGTAGATTATGTTATTTATAGCAAATGTGAAGTTATCAAAAATAAAGCATTACAACAAACACGTTGGGAGTTTGATAAATAGTTTGCTAAAAAGGCTTTATAAACAATTTTTTTCACACACGTTTGGGCGCAAGAATAAAAATCGTAAATTTGTTGCTAAATTGTCCGATTATTTGTTTAAGCAGGAAGCAAAGGAAAATGCAGAAGAAATGCAAACTGTCGTATTTGAGTTATTCGTGGGATTTTCCGGGTAAGTTGTTACTTCCCGAGGAAGCAGGCGATTTATTATCGCAAACTTAATCTCACAAAAACACGTCAAACCTGAAAATCCTACAGCTCGGCAGCGAACCCCGCCCCCTTTTGCCGCACGCCCATAAAAAGTGTACTGGAGGAAGGGGGAGAGTGTGGGAGGAGTGGTGTAGCATATATTCGGTCGCTCGCCGTTAGCTTCATAAAAAACCAACTACATGGAGTGCGCATAGCAACAAAAACATGCAGGCAAATCACAGTGTACAGCGCACTTTACCCCCTTTCCTTACTTTTTTTTTTTGTCGGTGCCCCCCTTTGAAAACCCCACCCCTGGCAATTTCCATTTGGTTGCCCTTCTACGGAAGTAAGGCACAGAAAAAAAATAATGTCATAGGACCAGCATAACATTTTTTTAATATATGTTAAATATAGTTTTACAAATATCCCTAAAATAACATATATATTTTAAGGAAATAACAATTAACACGATGTCTTTTTTTTTTGTTAATTACTAAGTTTTGTTATTTATTTCAATAATATTATTAAAAAATATAAATAATGAACTATGAACTTTTTTTAAAAACACATCTTCTTTAATAATAAGAATCAACATTCAAAGACCATTTATTTGTAATGTCTTTCTTTTAAGTTATAGTCTACGTTTGATTATATTAAAAAATCAGGATAATTTTAATTGTAAGAGTAACATAATTCGATATGTTAAACCCTTTTTTTCAGAATCATTTGAAGGCAGCTTATGAAGTGATCCAAGTTTTTTAAGATTTCTGCATTTATATTCGTTTAGCCGTGTGTTTTACGTTTGGATGTATTTTTGTTTTTTGGTAACAGTTTTGCCCACTGTTTTTTTCTATTTTCCTCGTTGTGCCATAAAGATTATTATGAAAGTATTTTGCTAAGCTGAGTTCTGAGTTGAGATGAGATGTGCCGGGTTGGCTATGTTGGCTGGGTTGGTTGAGTTGGGTTTTCGAGTTTAGGTTAGGGTTTTTTGGATAAGGATAAGGGGGTCTGGGGGCTGGGGGCTGGGGCTGGGGCAAATGGCATCTCTGTTGCACGCGCTATCTGGCCGTATATCCGTCTCTGTCATGCCATTTGGCTGGCACACTCGAGGCCTTAAGTGTGCATGCATTATGCCATGTGCAGGACCAGCACCATCACCATCACCATCGCCATCACCATTGCCAGGACCCTCAAACGCCCCCAGCCCCCAGTCCCCAATCCCCAAACCCTTAACCCCCCGCCGAGTGTAATATGCATGCATGGATAATTTATCAGGACACAGACGCAGCACAGCTTTAAATTTGATTAAAGCCCTGGCCATGTCCACTGCCATGTCCTGTCCATATCGCAGTCGTTTTAGTTCCACTCGCCAACTGACAGCAGCTCAAATGCAATTAAATGCAACCACACAGCAAATCAAGCTCAAATCTCAGCCGGACTTTTCACCAGAAAAACCAGATCAACCAGAAAAAAAGCAAATGTTTAGAGAAAAGTGCTGCAAATAGTCCGTAATCTATACTTTAAAAATTGTAATGCAATTGTTTATTTATTTATTTCGTTTTAAAATTCTAAATAGCATACAAGAATTTGCTTGGTTATTAAATTATTAATTTAAAAAAGATTATAATGTTGTGTAATATATGCGTAGAGTACAAGAAATATGCCAAATGGCATAGATATTTAGCAACTGTAACTGAAACTGATATAATTACCTACGTTCACATAAAAAACGTTTAAGAAATTCGAAATAAGTTGAAGTTTTGTATTTGCTAACAAGGTAAGTTCAATCGATTGTACTTAAGGTGGGCTCAAATCCAATCTCAAAATATGAAAAAGTAGTGCAGAGCACTGATGGCCATAAAACCCCAAAAACCCCCATCAGGCATCAGGTATCAGGCACACTCGCGCCCCCCTAAAAACTCTCGACGGACTTAATCCGCTGTCAGGGGAATGGCGAAACAAGTAACAAGGAATTCCTTGTAGCAGAGTGTAACAGCCTGGCTTTGTGCCCATGCCCCAGACCTTACAGCATTTTCGAAATGCTTGTAGTTTCGGTTTTTTTATGGGTTAAGGGATATGGAAATGGGTCCTCGGATGAAGATGAGCATGAGGATGACGATGAAGGCGTCTTGGCGGGCATATGGAAATCGGATAGGGCCGAGTCGGCGGCCAAAGTTGTTTGTTTTTATGTTGTCTTCGGCAGCGTTGCATAAGTGCATTTGTCTGTTATCCCACCAAGCTTTTGTTTCGCCCCTCATCCTGCGCTTTTCACCAAGCCATGCCATACCCAAACCAGTGCCCACCATACCCATACCCATACCCATACCCTTATCCATTTTCTCACACTAGTCCGGGCACTTGTTTTCAACGGAATCAATTTAGCGTAAGAAGTTTCAGCTCCAAGCTCGAAGTTGTTGTCATGTGCAGGACACGATGAGCGGGACGAGGATTTGGATGTGAATGGAGGGCTTCATGGGCGGAGGTCAGGGGTTACGGGGTTCAGGAGGGTGGTGTATATGTGTGTGTGTGTGTATGCGGTGCAATTATGCCAACGACAGCTGCCTGGCAGCCTCGTCGTCGCTCTATTAATCAAAAGTTATACAAAAAGCCAGCGAACTTCGCCACACGACTTGGCCAGCTTTTCCCCGGCGTTTCGTCCCGGCTTTTCCGCATTTTCCTGTCTAAGGCCCCACATCTCCCTAGCTCTATTCCCAGCTCGATTTTCCCAGCTCTCCCAGCTTTTCCAGCTTTCACAGCTTCTGGCGCCGTCTTCGCCTCCTCATCCTGCTCTCCCTGTTGTTTGCAATTTAACTTTGCTTTGAGCGAAGGCTCTTCATGAGTTGGCCCAAGCTTATGTGCGCAAACACATAGACGCACTCGA